GAAAATAGAATGGAGAGAATATGATTGGAGAGAAAACATGAGAATCATTTCAGATTTTCACCTCACTCCTAAATATTTATTAAAGGTCACTCTCTGACCGCTACATGTATTAATTCTATATAACTCACCGAACTAGCAGGTTGTATGACACTGGGCAAGTGAACATCTCAGCCCTTGGTTGCCTCGTCTGCGATTAAAGGAGATCAGGCCAACTTTTTTAGAATAAAAATATCGAGATTTGAAGTAGCTCAGAGATCATCTAGCTCATCCTATTGACTCTATGAACCTCTCTGGAACAGTCCAAGTGGCTATCCAATGTTGGCTTGGGTGAAAACCGGGCTTACGTACTCAGTACCTCCTAGGAAAGCCAATTTAAGTTTCAGGTTATTCTGAATCAGAAGTTTTTTTATAAACTGATCTAAGATTTTACCAGATAATTTCCAGCTAAATCTTTTTAAATTTTACATTTAAAATTGCTATGCAAAATCCTCTTCTCCACATAATACAATGACAATAGCCCCACTGTCACTTTTATCAAAACATGAATTAGTTGTAAGGTGTGATCATGAAAATTGGCCATTAGTCTTAATTCTGCCCCTGTCTATTTGACCTTGGCAAGATATTCATTATATCTGAATCTTAATTTCTTTGCTTATAACATGAAGGGCTTAGAGTTTGTCAAATGTCTCTTTTAACATTAATGATTCTTTCCTGACTATACCTTTGTCCTGAACTCAGTGGAACATCACTGTTTTATTTTTAAGAATGAGATTTTTTAGATTTCTTTAATGAAGAATATACTTTTCTTCCTTTTTTGTGTGTCTCTTGATTTTTCTAAATGTTCTGGATATAGATATTTACATTAGAGTGTATGACCTAAAATCTTATTCTTAGTGAGATGACAAGTAATTTTGATAAGTTGGAAGTTATATTTCCTTTCCAATAAAAAGATGATAGAATACTAGGATCTTAAAGGTTAGAAGGAACCACACAAGGTATTCAACCCAGTCTTCCCCTAAGGAAGAAATCCATCACAGAATATCCCTAATGCTTTGCCTTCCAACTTCTGCCCAAACTCTCCTAGTGAACGGAGCGCAGAGCTTTGCGGGGCTGGCCTGTTATATTGGAAGACAACACAGTGTCCAACCTGTAGAAGGTGTTTAAATGTTGTTCGGAAGTTTGCTTTCCTGGAACCCCGCATTGGTCCTGGTCCTGCTCCCTCAGCGCGCCTAAATAGATGTGCCCCTTGACCCTTGGGCGGGCAACCATGGGATACAACCACCATAGCTGGTCCCCCCCACCCCTCTCCAAGGCTTGGCTTCTCCAAGCTGAAAGCTCACGCTCCTTTATTCGTTGTTTCCACACCTTTTACTACCCAGCTCCCTGAACATGGATGAATTTTAGCTTGTCAATATCCTCTTTAAAATGCGATTCCAAGAATATAACAAACATGATATAAAGTATTTTAATTAATTCATTATTTCTGCACATATATTGAGCCCACTTCAAGAAAACCAGGGAGTCATTGCTTCAACTAGATATGTTTATTGCATGATTCTGTTAGCACCAGAAAGCATTCTGTTTGCTCTTTGTTTTCATATCTCTAGTTATCAAATACATCCGCACAAGTGGTACCATGGATTCCAATTAATATTTCTTAGTGCCACTATCAGCTTAATACTGGGCTGAATGGTGTGTTGCTCATGTCTTATATTATTATGTCATGTGAGCAGAAATATTATCAAGAGCCCCTCTCTGAAAATCTATGAAATGAAATCCATCACAGAAATTAAGAACAAATATGAAACAAATTATTTACTAAAATTGAGATTACATATAGGATGTCTTTCCCACCTTGGCTATTTTAAGATGCTTTTGCCCTGTCAGAATCAGACTTAACTATGTGTTCCTTTCTTTAATATATCATCATGAACATGGTTTTGTCAGATCTTCATCACCAAGTGAAACTGAGTTTAGGCAAAAGGCTGGATAATTCAGGCAAAACACCTTTTCAGCCTATAGAGGCTTTGATCAGTATTGAAGGCCAAAAACAAAAATGTTAATGTGTTATAATAAATTGTGTCCCTCCCCTACTATCACTACTCCCTGTGTGTGGGAAACAAAAAGGGAAGGAGGAAGGAAGGAAGGAAGGAATAAAGGAAGGAAGGAAGGAAGGAAGGAAGGGAGGAAGGAAGGAAGGAAGGAAGGAAGGAAGAAGGAAAAAGAAGAGAAGAGGAAAGAGAAGGAAAGAAGAAAGAAGAACCGTTAAGAGAACTTTGCTGTTGAATGGCTTGCCACCAACCTAAGGGCATCTGTCTGGTGAGAAAGCAGGGCTCCAGGTCATAGCTCTCTGCTTCCCACTGAATCTCATCAGGAACAGCCGCAAAGGGAGGACCGGATGAGGCGGAGTGAGCATCCTTCCGCTCAGTGCCACTGAATCAAAGACACAGACGGCCACTCCTGGGCTCCGGATTGCTTCTGCCCCGGGAGCTGTGCCTGTGCTAACAACGCGGACCCAGCAAGTCCTGGCATCTTCTTGTGAAGACGGAAGAAAGAGAGAAAGCTCCGAGGTTTGGGGGGTGTTAACCCTCTGATTTAATTTTGTACAATTTCCCTCAAAACATATAAGTTCTTTAATGTTCACTTTAAAAATTCTCCCCAATCCCTTTAGTAGCTGTTCTCCCTGGTGTTGGAAGAACTTGAGGCCCCCCCACCCCGTAATAGTACCTATTTTCCCTTCCAGGTTACCAGGAACATTCTTACTCACAAACCACTTTTTTCCCTAAAACCAAGTTGTTTGTGTTATTGTAAAGCATTTGTCAAAACTCCTGCCTTAACACAGCGCTGTCATTATCTGAACGAGAAGAGCAAAGAGAAATCTGCGCCCACATTTGCTTTCAGAGCGCATCTACACAGTCTACATAAATGACCGAGGTGTTCCCACAGTGACAGAGGCAAATGCCAGTCAGTGCGTTGCCACTAGGAAGCACACGGACGGGCAGGGAGGCGAACAGGAGTCGGACTGTATGTATTGCCCTGCTTCGGCTGGCAGCTAGTCCTGACTTCACCGGTAAATGCTACAATCCTGCCAAGCCTTCATTTCCTTAACGATGACAGGGAAAAATAACTGCTGTCTGTGACTCACAAGGTTGTTAATTGATAGAAAGAACTTTGGAAAATAGAAACAGCTATACGATGCTTATGTTTTTAAAGCAACAGTCATGCCTCCTAAGTGATGCAGAACGAATAAAGGTCTCACTCTGACACTTCTCTCTGCGTAAGATAATGTTTCCCTGAACAAGCCTACTGTAAAAAAGAAAAAGAAAAAAGTAAGGGGGAAAAAAGAAAATCCTACTCCTACATTCATGAGACCATAGAAGTAGGCCTAGAAGGATCTTTTAGAGACGTGAGGAACCAAAAAAGATGAAATGCAATGTAAACTCACACCGCTGTTGTCTACATACAGGCATACCTCATTTTATTGCGCTTCACAGTTGTTGCGTTTTTTACAAACTGAAGGCGAGGCTTGCACCAGCAAAAGGATCACCATTTGCTTCATCGCCCGCTCCTGCTGTCACAGTGGCCGGGACCCCGCCGCCGGCCGTCTCCAGGTGCGCCCGGAGTCACTGTTCATCACCAGGGCCCGGGGCCGGCGCTCCGCCGGCGCCCTCGCTCGCGCCGCCTTCCTGGGCTCACTTACCTAACGCGCAACCGAGCGAAAGAAAGACGGAAGCGGAGTGGGCTGCTCTGTGGATAAAGGTACTGGGTCGGTGGCGCCACCGCGTCATCCCTTATATAGTTTCAACTACAAACATCCAGAGAGTTCTGTCTCTTCAGCCTTTCCGAGTCAACAGATAGGATTTGCTGGGCCTTTTCCATGCAGGTGGAACGCGAGACGATTTCCCGGTTGAAAATGAGAAGCCGGATTGGGCCGGGGGGATCTGCTAAGGGAGGCGGGCGCGTCTCCTCCGGCCGCGGAGCGGGAGCCGCCCGGGCGGCGGGAAGGAGGCGCATAGGTTGGACGCCGCGACAAACGGTCCCCAGACACTTCCCGCGTTTCCCGCGAGCCCTTAATACCGAAAACCCGGGAGCAGAACCGACGTCGGGGGCCGGGCGCTGGCCGCGGGGCGCAGCGGCCTCCCGCCCGGCTCAGCAGCAGCGGCAGGTGCGCTTGCAGAGGGTCCCCTGGTCTCGCTGGAACCCCGCGCGCCCTTACAATGCAGGGAGCGCGCGGCGTCCCCCGCGCACCGAGGGGCACTCGCCCGGAACGCCGGGGAGCCGTGGGCGCGGCAGGGCTGCGGGACGGGCGCGCAGCAAGTCGGGAAGCAAACTCGCTCGATGGGTTTTTCCTGCTCAAGTTCCTGCCGCGCGCGGGCGCCGCTCACCATGGGACCGCGGGACCCGGGCGCAGGGGGTGAGGAGGGCGTGGGGAGCTCCAGGCCCGACCACGAGCCGGGAAGGGGCCGGGCTGACCCGTCAGCTCGAGTGGACAGCGGCGGGGAAGGCCGCGCCGCCGGGAGGAGGGAGCGCTTTAGGATGGGGTTCGAGACGGGCAGGGGCCCCGACTGCGGGGCGGCGGCGAGCAGCGCGCGTCCGGCCCGTCCGGGACCGGTTCCCCGAAGAGCTGAGGCGCGGCCGCCGGCCCCTCACGCAGGAAGGACCGAGGGTCCGGGGAGAGGCCGCGGGACCCCGACACCGAAGCTGGGGCCGGTGGCTGCGCGAGGGCCCGGGGTCTGCGGTCCCGGCGGAGAAACCGTCCCCCCGAGTGAGAGCCGGGAGCCCGGCCCCCGTGCGCGCGCGGCCGGCGCGGGAAGAGCCGTCCGGGCGGACGCACCTGCGGGGACAAGGCGCGGGGGGCGCGGGAGGTCGCGCCACGGCCGCGCGGGTGCAGGGCGACAGGGTGTTTTGTTTCCTTCTGGGAGCCGGTCTCTGGAGCCGCCGGGCCTTCGGGTCTGGGAGGGAGCGCGCCCGGCCCACGGCACCTTCCCTCCTCCCGCCGCTCAGAGCCCCCGCGGGGCCGAGCCCGGCTCCCCCTCGTCCCCGATGTCCACCTCGTCCTCCGGCTCCGCGAGCGCGAAAGGGCCGGCGGGCAGCCCAGGCCGGGCCTCGGCGGGCGCGGCTTCGGGGCCGCGGGGGCTGCCCGCGGGGCTCTCGGGCGCACCCGGCGCTTTGGGCTCGTCCTGGCTTTTCCTCAGCTGCTTTTTATGCTTCATCCGCCGGTTCTGGAACCACGTTTTCACCTGATTTCAGGGAGAAAAATAGAAAACCCGTCATTCCTCCAGACCCACGGCGACCGGCCTGAGGTCTGAGCGTGGCTGGGGGTGAGGAAGGTGGACCGAGGGACCGAGAGCCGAGGACGGACCACTCAGGGGCTGGGACCGCGCTCCCGGCGAAGCCGCTCCGATGCGCACAGGCCAGTTCTGGGCTCGCGGAGGGAACCCCCGAAACGGCACTAGGGTCCGCGGCCTGGGGAACACTAGGCCTGTTTGCTCAGAATCGCCGTCAGCGAGCGTGACGCCTCCTGTACTGCCCGCGCCCCCGACATGGCGCCTGAACCCCTGGCCAGCGGTTCCTGGACGGCAGCGGAGGCCCAACTGCGGTTCTCAGCAGAGGCGGCTCCCGCCCCGCAGGCCAGCGGCGGCAGCACGTGGGTGCGGGTGGCAGTGAGCGCGGGGAGGGCGCGGGGGTGCGGAGGGGTGAGGCTGCAGCGCCTCTGGAGGAAGGACCGGGCCCGGGGTCAGCCTCCAGGGCACCGGGCGGGTGAGAGCCTGGTCGCTGAGGCTGAACTAAGACAACCGTCCTGCGCGGGCTGCTCTAGGGACGGGGACCGGCCCTGGGGGAGGAGGCGCGGGAGCGCGGAGCTGCGGCTCGCGAGCAGGGGCGGCGGTCGGATCGCGGAGGAGGTTCCTCCCGGTCCGCGGCCCCTGCGCGAGGCTGACGCGGGGCTGGGAGCGGCTGTGCGGGCGGAAGGGCCTCGGAGCCTCCTGGGACCGAGGGGCGCGGTCCTGCCCTCGGGCACCCTGCGGGGCGGAACGGGGGAGGGGGGAGCCTCCCGCGCCGGCCCACCTGCGTCTCGGACAGGCTGAGCGCCGTGGCCAGCTCCACCCGCTCGGGCGTGGACAGGTAGCGCTGGATCTCGAACCTCTTCTCCAGGCCCGACAGCTGCGAGTCCGAGAACACGGTGCGGGCTTTGCGGCGGCGGCAGTGCTTCCCGGGCAGCTCGGCGGGCGGCGGGTGCGGGAACAGCGCGGGGACCGGCACGCCTGCGGGGAGAAGCCGCCCAGGGCGTCAGGCGCGAGCAGCCCGCTCCACACCCTCCTCCGCCCGCACCCCCCCCCCCCCCCAGCCTCCTGCGGCCGCGGTCCCGGAGCCGCCGGCCCCGCCCGGGAACCGCAGGGCATGGGGTCGGGGGCGGGAGATGCCGCTCGGAGGTCTTTAGCGGGAAGCCACCTAGAAACCCCAACAGCAAGCAGCGGGGAGACGGGAGGAGCTTGTAAAAGAGCCGGGGGGCTTCCTAGCGCACCGCGTCCACCTTCTGTCGCGGCACCCAAGTTTTCTTGCAAACATCGGACAGTCCGGGCGCCCGTCCCCCTCCTGCACCCCGTCCTTCCAGGCCCCGCGGCGCGGCTTACGGTGGTTTAAGGCCGGTAGCGTCGTGGCCGTGGTCTCGCCTCCAAACGCACTGGAACGCCTCTCCCCGAGCCCGCGGGTTCCCGCCGGCGGCCCAGGACCCGGAGCCCGTCGGAGGGGCAATCCCGCCTCGCGCGTCCCCTTGTCAGCCTCGGGGAGCCCGGGAACCCCTCTCTCTATGTGCTCATCGTGCTCCTCGTTCTCTCCTCGACCCCGGCAGAGGACTGCGCGCTTTCCCCACCGTCGCGGGCTCCCTGGGTCGGAGCGGCTCCAGGCGGGCGAAGGGCCACCGGCGCCCACAGGCCGATGGACCCGGGAAACGACCGCCAACACGGAAACCCGCAGCCCGGCGCCGGGGCTTCGGCCGCCGCTATTTGGGGGGACACGGGTGTGCCGGCGGGTGCTGACGCCAACGCCGAGAGTGCGACTTGGGTGCGGGCTGACTCCCTCCCGTCCCGGGCTTCCCGCTCCACAAACACCTTCAGCTTTTGTTGTGGCTTCACCAGCCGCCTCGTGTCTCCGCAGCCCCGCCGGGCCTCGGGAGTGACTGTGTCCTACTCCGGCCGGAATGGAAGTGCCGGGAGAGGCGGCGGGGCTTCCGGAGAGAGGCGGCCACACCTGGCGTCCCCGCCGCCCCGCACCAGACCCGGCCGGTGCCTGCTCTCTCTCGCCCGGTCTGCAATCACAGTGCTTTGGGGCCGGGCTCCCAGAGGCCAGCGATGGACTTACGACTGTGAGTTAAAGGCGAGACGTTGGGAGTAAAGAGAGTTAAGGAGCAGCCGCGTCCCTCCCTCTTTTCTTTTTACCCCTTCTCCCTTATTCTGGCGCCCAACCCTCCGTCCTCAGAATATCCCAACCCTCCTTCACTCCTAGGCCTCCGCCGCCTGGGTGGTGAGTGCGCAGCCCTGGGAGGGTCGCGTGGATTTCCGATTACAAAGTTGAGGTCTGTCCAAGGGGGTGAAGGGGCCGGGGTCTCCCTCCGAGCAGGCAGACAGCGAGTGGAGACTGAGAGCTGGACCAAGTGGCCAGAAAGACCCCGAGGGAGGGGACTGGGCACTGCCCGCCACCAAGAACAGCACCCCCCTTCCAGCCCCTCTCGCTGGCATGTCCCCCATGGTGAAGGGCACAGAGCGACAGGAGTCACCCGTGGGTGGGCATGCCGCCAGCGAGCTCTGCTGCTCACAGCCACAGCCCTCACCTTCTACCTCTCACTCCGGGAAGGAGGCGACAGGCCAGGCTGCGCCCGCGTGGCCTTCTCTAGGCTCCCACAGTTGGAGACCCGTTACTTACCCGAAGTGGTGAGGAAGTAGGGGTGGTGGTGGTCTCCCTTATGCAGAGGGTGGTGGGGGTGAGGAGCCAGGAGGGTGGGGGTGGGCATGAGGGGGTAGCCATAGTCTAGCAGAGGCACCCGGGAGGCCAGGGAGCTGGCGAAATGGTCGGGGGGCACCTCCCTGAGCGGCTTGGGCTTGTGCAGCAGGATGTCCTCAATGAAGAAAGACGTGGGCCTCTGAGAAGACGCCGGGTGTAGCGGGGAGGTGAAGTTGAGGTTCATCTTGGTCCGAGCCCCCCAACACAGAAAGAAGGCCCAGGAGGAAGTGTAGGGAGCAGGCAGTGGCTCCGCACGCCTGGCCAGGAGCCGACAGCCGCCCCTCGAGGCTGGGATCTCCAGGCTCTCCCCCGGCCCTGGGCTACCCCTGGCGCTGGAGGCGAGAAGACTAGCTCCTGGGTAGGTTGGGTCTGAGTGTAGGAGAATTGGCAGCTTGGAGAGGGGGCCAGGAGAGCCAATGGCGAGGCTGCCAGCAGCGGAGGGGCGGTGCGGGCTCGGGGCGTGGCGGGGAGCTGTCCGCGGTGCTGAATCCGGCCTTCCAGACCAGGGAGAGCGGAGGAGTCCAGGTTCTTGCTCCTACCAAGATTCTCCACCTTAATTTCTGCCCCTCCAACTGCAGGAGCTGTTTGCTCCCAGCTGTTTTTAAAGAACGCTAAAAAGACAAAGTCTCTGACCCCCAACAACTCCTTTTTAGAGAACAGAAAGCACTTAAAAGGCCCAAAGCAATAGGGATAAGGCGTTCATTTTGGCATTTGGGTCTGAGTTTTAAAATTTTAGAAAAATGGCCTTGCAGGGTGTGACTCAGTAGATGAACATCGACCAATGAACCAGGAGCTCATGGTTCGATTCCTGGTCAGGGCACATGCCCAGGTTGCGGGCTCCATCCCCAGTAGGGGGCGTGCAGGAGGCAGCCTATTCTCTCTCATCATTGATCTCTCTCTCTCTCTCTCTCTCTCTCTCTCTCTCTCTCTCTCTCCCTCTCCTCTCCCTTCATCTCTGAAATCAATAAAAATGTATTTTTAAAAATAAATAAATATTTAGAAAAATGAAAGCAAAGGAGAAGTGAGAAGAGAGTCCATGTCTGATAGACCCACCCTAAATTGATGGCTGAGGGATGACTAGATTGTTGAGGTAGATAAATAAAATGATGGATCGTAATATTCTTGACCTCAGTTATAGAGGGTGGTGTGAGGGAGTTATATCTGCATCAATCGAGTAATACGGTCTGTGTAAATCTGTCCAGAGCTACTCTTAACGCCAGTCTCCACCTCCTATCAAATTTCATTATCTCCTCCTCACTGCATTCGCAGGGCTTGCTATTTCTGCTAGACTTACCCCTTTCAACCTCCCCCGTCCCCCCCCCCACCCCCCTCCCACACACACACATACATACTAGTATACTTGTGCTAGGGTTTTTTGTCTCCCATTCCCTTTCCAGCCTTTCTTTTCATTTCCTTCCCTCCCAATATTTGTTTTCCTGTTTGTCTTTTTCTAATCTGTCACATTTATTTCCCTTGAGTCAATTTGCTAAAATGAAGTTGATCATCTACAGCACAGCAGGGCTAACTTTGGCTCGCATCTCCAAAAATTGCTCTAATTATTGGTGTTAAACTCAAGGAAATTAAAAGAAGCCACTTCTCTTCCATCTCCCCATTTTTAAGCTCTAATTTGTTGAAATCTAGTTGTCATCACAATTCCAATCACTACTGCTAATAGCAAAAGTGTTTTAATAGACACTGAGTCCTCACAACCCATGCTATTAGGTAATTAGAGGAGGTGTTAGAAAGCCAAGTGCTAATCCTTGGGCGCCCGGGTAGAATTTTCATCTGATCTAGCAGGTAAAACAAATTAATTACCAGAATCAATTAGGCCCCAAACTACAGTGCCGCAGGAAGTGGGAGTGCGTGCTCCATATGGATGACCTGGTAAAAATGGTAAACAGAGGAGAAGAGTGAGAGGAAGGAGAAAGAAGGGGGAGAGAACTTTACAATCAGACCTTAGCAAATAGACACCTAAATGAAGTCAGAATGCTTTGTCCTGAAGCCTGAAATGTGATTTTTGTTTTAGGTTCATCATGGTAAGAGCTGAAGATGGAGAGCAGGCCACTGAGAGGCGGCCACGGAGAGGGAAAATGCAGGCTCCAGAAGTTGCGCCTTAGTCCTTAGCCCTGGTCCCGTCCAGTCATCCCCCGAAGGGCTAGAGAAACTGAGGAGGGTCAGACTCCAGACTCGTAAAGAGGCCCTGGGGGTGCAGTCCACGCCGTAGGAAGTCCACCGCCTCCCAGTGGAGCCTCCGACCAGTGGAAACCAAGCCATCCTGTCTCCTAAGACCCTAAGGCTGAGGGGCGATTGAGGACGTGCCTGGTCCCCTCTTCTCTCTGCCAGCGCGGAGGACGGAGGACGGAGGCCGAGCACTCAGCCTTGGAGATGGAAATTCAGCCTCGATAGGGGTGGGGACTAACTTCTGCTCGGATGGTGCAATGGAAAGGTGGTTGAATGTCTCTTTGGGAGCAGGGCCAGTAAACGCGTTTGGGGGAGACAGTTACCTTTGACCCAAGGCACTGCAAACGTTTTCTCAGAACAGAATTCAGCCTTAAACATTTCAGAGAGTTCACAGTATCGGAGAAGGGAAGAGAAGGCCGGTGGGCGGGGGGAGGGGGGTGGGGGGGAGGGGGGGAGACCACCTCTGAGTCCTTTCCCTTCCCCTTATTTCATCGACTCTGGACTCAGCTCCTGGGTCTCCCCCAAGCTAAGGCCTTTCCGGGCCGGGCCGGAGGAGGCCCACCCCTCACACTCCCTCTCTGGGTCCTGCTCTCTCTAGGACTCGGTCCTGCAGCCCAGCACCGCCCACTCAGTAGAAACCTGAGAGGGGAGAGATGGAGAGGAAAACTAGATAGCTATGGGAAGGGGCAGGACCCCAGGACTGCAGGGGAGTTTTACTTCCCCTTTCCCATTCCCTCTCCCTTTCAGCGATGCTGGGAAACAAAGCTCTGCCGCTGAGTGTGGTGGTTGCCAGCGGGAAGGGGGGTCACGGGAGAAGGGGGTCCCAGTACATGGTGACAGGAGATTCGACTTTGGGTGGTGGGCACAGGGTGCACTATGCAGTTTGTAACAGAAACCCACACCTGAAACCTCTGTGTTCATGTTGACCAATGTCACCCCAATAAATTTATTTGTTTAAAAAGCTCCATGGGCCCAACTTGGTTGGCTCACTAGTTGAGTGTGGACCTATGAACCAGGTCACAGTTCGATTCCTGGTCAGGCCATATGCCTGGGCTGTGGGCTCAATGCCCAGTGTGGGGCCTGCAGGAGGCAGCCAACCAATGATTCTCTCTCATCATTGATGTTTCTATCTCTTTTCCCTCTCCCTTCCTCTCTGAAATCAATAAAAATATACTAAATAAATAAAGCTCATGGCTGGGAAAGTAAACAGCCACCAGCACCAAAGCAGGCCCCTGGGGGGGAACAGGGGTGAGAATAGGGGATCCCTGGGAAGTGGAGGCAGACAGGGATCCCTAAGTCTACACCCTACTGGATGAGGGAGACCCCCTTCTCCCAGGTGCTCAGGTAACCACAGCCGGGCTTGCCATGGGCCTGTGGACCGGAGCCCAGCGCTCAGATGGACAGGCGGTGCAGGCAAGCCGTGTCCCGGAAAAGTTCCTGAGGGGGGGCCTCACGCTGCTCTTAGAGCTCTCAGGGAAATCTTGAGGTCCAAAAAGCTGGGAAGTGTCCTTATGGTGTTGGGGCTGCTGAGCAGAACCAGGGGGAGCTCTGGGGTGAACAGAACCCAGCCCCGCCTTCTCAGGGGCCTCGTGCCTGGGCCCTCCTACTTCTGCAGTGAGTGACAGAGGCCTCCAGGGAGGCCAGCCCCTGCTTGAGAGGCAATCCTGTTTGTCCAAGGTTTGGAGGAAGAGGCATTCCAGAGCCCACAGGCCTTCCTCCACCCACGTCCCTAGGGCCATTCGGGTAAGAGGTGCAGGTCACATTCTCAGCTAGCTTGTAAACAGTTTGCCCTTAAAAACAGAAATGTTTCATTGCCTGGATTGTCTGTAAAGTCTAGAGCAGCACCGTTCAATAAAAATATGAGCCACATAGGTAATTTTAGATTTTCTACTAGTCACATTTAAAAAGTAAGAAGAAACAGCCCTAGCTGGTTTGGCTCAGTGCCTAAAGCATAGGCTGGGGACTTAGGGGTCTCAGGTTTGATTCTGGTCAAGAGCATGCTCCTTGGTTGCAGGCTTGATCCTAGGGCTTCATGGGGGAGGCAACCAATCGGTTTCGTTCTCTCTGTCTCTCCCCCTCCCCTCCATCGTCTTAAATAAATAAATAAATAAATAAATAAATAAATAAATAAATGTAAGAAGAAAGAGGTGAAATATTAATATATTTCATTTAACCCCAATATGTCAAAAATGTTATTATTCAACATGTAATCAATATAAATATTATTAATGAGATTATTTTGCATTTCCTTTTAATACTAAGTCTCCAAACTCCAGTGTGTATTTCACATTTGCTGCACATCTCAGTTCAGACCAGCCAGGTTTCAAGTGCTCAAGAGCCACCTGTGGCTCTTGGTTACCTATTGGACAGCCCGTGGCCAGTTAATGGTCACAATCCCTTTATCCCTCTCCAGTGTAGGTTGACATACACAGAGAAAATGGAAAGCAGTTCTGAAGCTAGTCCAGTACACTGTCAATGCTTGCCATTCATCCATCCATTATATTAGATAATTACGAGCATTTATTGAGCATCTACTATATTCCAGGCTACTCACCACACATCTTCCCAACCTCAGGAGATTCAATAAATGCACTCGCATTACATTAATTTTTTATTCTCATTTGACTAAAAGTCTGTCACCCAGGGCCGGCTGTAGCTGACACACACAATCAGATTCTGCACACTGCCCTGAGCAAAAAGAAAAGATCAAATAAACCCTCTCCCACCCCAATCTGCAAGACATGATAGAGCTGCTTGTGGCTTCAGCTGAAGAATTACTAATTAATTTAAAGAGAAGAAAGATGTTTCTCAGAGATCAATAATTAAACAATACTACTCTCTTTCATGTCAGTCTCATCTGAGCTGTCATCTGAGCTGGGACTTAGTTTCTCAAAAAGATACCCCTGTTGATGATCACAGGAAAAGACTGGCTCCATTAGCCAAGTTGCCTATGCTGCGGCCTTCAAATAAGGGGAGAAATGTATTTAGGAGGGTCTGAGTAAC